CTATTGCCGGCCACCGCTAGCACCCCTAGTGTAGGCCAGAAGGGGCAGGACGTGCGAGCGAAAGACCATTGCAGTTAAAAGCAGTCTAAGCCCGAAACCTCAAACCCTTATATAGACTTAGCCTAAACCCGAAACCAAGCAGGGTTTTGGGTTCAGGGGTTTAGGGTTTAGGGGTTCAGGGTTTAGCGTGTAGGTTTTTTTTTCGGGTTTAGGGTTTACCCATAGGCCCTAAAGTCTTTTTGGGGTTCATATATAGAACCCTATAAGGTAAACCCAAAAAGGAACTACTATGGGGCCTATGGGTAGGGGCCAAGCTCCTAAACCCGGGCCTAAACCCTAAACCCAAACCCTAAACCCTACAAGCTCCAGGTCATGAGAGGTTTCCGGCGCTCGGCCGGGACAGGGCCCAACGAGGCACGGGCTGCGGGAATGGATGCTCGCGGAGTAGAGTTTAATATCGGGGCCTTAAGAGTTACCTATATATATATATATATATAGTGTTTTGGATTATATGTTAGAATTTTACTATAATATACCCCAACACCCTATTTTATGATTATTAGGGTCGCTGGATTAGGGTTTATGGTTAACTCTGGGGCTTTACGGTTTAGGGTTTAGGGTGTAGGGACGGGGCCTTTAGGGCTTAGAGTTTAGGAGGAGATAGTAACGACCAGGGTAAAGACTAGGATGCCCTAAACCCTCAACCCTAAACCCTACCCCTAAAGAGGCCAAATCAGGCCGAAAAGCCTACATGCAAGCTTTAAGCCGAATTTCCATATCTCGTGAAAAAATACATATATATATATATATATATATTTATTTATTTATATATATATATATATATTTATTTATTTATTTATTTCCCCAACTGCCAAACCTCCGAAATCATATATAAGGTGTAGCAATTGTGGGTTTAGGGCTTTAGGGTTTAGAGCTTTGGGGCTTAGGGTTTAAACCGAAGCCCTACTTACAGGCCCCAGTGGCCACCAGCTTTGGCCATGCGGCTGCCTGCTACTGGGACTGCAAGAGTTGTTATGTGTTTTCTTCGGCATCAGTTTTAGGATTTAGGGTTTAGGGCTTTAGGGTTTGGGGTTTAGGGTTTAGGGTTTAGGGTTTAGGGCTGTGGCGGGTCGTACGATGAGTGTCCTCCTTCCTCTCGACGTTCGTCAGCATCACCGTCGCCCATTTGCAGCATCTTCGTCACATCGGGGATAAAGCCGACCGGACGATAGTCGTACGCAAGGAATTGCCACAGCCCGCACGTTCATGCACAAGCATACTCACAAGCTTGCTGGTGAGGGCAAGGAACATGGCACTGTCCAAGACAGAAGTTGCTTAATGACTGGCTAGCTTCCTATTGGCTTGACAGTTTTAGTATTCACAAGGAGTGCAGAAGCCCATTCGATGAGGAAAATGGGCCCAACAAGCTTCTGTTCCAAGTGCCACCGTTCCAAGGTCTTCTTCTCGGTTACAGACTGCCATATTGGTGTAGCCCCAAAGCTCTACATGCTTCTTATGGCTCCTTCTTGTGGTTGCCTTATGTGTTAGTTTAGAATGCCGCTTCCCAGTTTTCTGGCACTGCGGCACCGGCGCAGCTGCTGCCGAGGACCCCATTCTCGTTAATGCTTGAATGCTGGAAATCCCGGCATCATCCGATGTTAGGGGTCTCCATATAGACTGCGACAGTCGTGCTTGAGCTTTCACATTGCGGTGTTTGAGAGTTCCTGGATATACTTTTCGATGCAAGCTTTGGGCGGTGAGTACAAGGGTTAGTCGAACAGCCTTGTGCCTGCTTCTGTAGGAGGACTGTGCAAAGTCCGCTGGGTGGTTGATGCGCTAAACGCTAAACCATGGTCCTTTTTTGGAGATTCTGGTCTTCGGCTATCGTGAGCTACTACTCTGAAGCAGCCCATAAACATTACCAGAACAACCCGCACCTCAAGCAGAAGTGGCTGCCTGCAGCTTCGTGGCTTCCTTAAGACGAACACAGATGGTAGTATACGGTTCTTAATCGAATAGGGTTTTGATGTGCATTATTCCTTTATCCTGATTCTCATCAGATATTGGTGGTTATCCCAGTAGATCCCCGGAGTAGAGTAAGTAACCTTTAACTTTTTTGGGGTACTATATACAGTCCCAATATACTCCCAAAGGTTGACCTTTTGAGTCCCCAGGATACAGGACAAGTAGCTCAGTTAGGACTGTATATTATGACTCAACCCTAAACCCAAAACCCTAAACCCTAAACCCGTAAAATTATGACGTAAAGTTTCTTCTGAAAGGACTCCAGCGACGAGCCCTTCGTAGAACAGCTGTGGAAATGGGCCCGGCCCTTCAGTTTTTCTAGATTAGGGATCAGGTCCACTTCATCGTATAGTCTCGTCTGGCCTAGTCTAGTGTAGTACAGTATACTACAGGGTAGTATAGCAAAGCATAGTATAGTAACATATAGTAATCTGTCTCATCAAAACACATGTCATACTGCTATGATACGTTGCAGTCCTTTGAGCAACGGTTTTGACAGCCTTTCGTTTATCGTTGGAGCTTCGGATTGAAAGCAAACGGATCGAAGTATGGCTGAATCATAAGCAACCGTCGGTGTGTTCACTGTACCCTGGATAGGAAGAGTCAAGAATCCGGCAAGCTCCAGCCCAAAATGCAAGTTCATGGCGCTTGGGCCACCACCATCGCCGCCGCCGACACCAAACTGCCAGCGCCGCCACAAACACCCCGCTACGTCTGTCGCCACCGACACCAGTACCGCCGAGGCCACACCCACCGCGCCACCACCCAACAGAACCCTAAACACCACCAGCACCGACATTACGAGCAACACCACCGCCTGCAGCACCAGCACCACGAACACTAGGAGCACAACCACCACCACCACCTCCTCCAACACGACTAATGATTAGTGACTGCTGTACTCAGAGCCAGTAGCACCGACAGTAACTTCATGAACGAGTCCTCAACACAACTGAATTGCCATCATTTTGACCATCACGAACTACCAACGACCCGTACCGTCATCATCACCATCATCGCAATCACCTCATCTCTGCGGCATCGTGACCATTTTAGCATCATTCCTGGCTGCAGCTGCCAGCATCATCATCATCAGCAGCAGATGCTGCATCATATCCATGGTGATATCCATGTTCATCAGCATCCTTGACAGTCATCAGCAATGTCCTATTCGCAATAATGTTCATCATCGTCATCTTCGGCACGACCGCTCCATTCATCGTTCTAACCTTCCTCCGCCTCACTTTCTTGATCGATGATTCCGTCCTCGTCATCATCACCATCATCAGCAGCAGTATCATCGTTGTCCTCGGCTTCTTCTCCATGATCATGCTGATCAGCCATTCCTCAGTGCAACAGCCATGTCTACCACTAGCAGCATCGTCAACAGTATCATTGTCACTGCCATCGACCGCTCCCTGGCAACAACACGCCTCCGGGTTTGGTCGGTGAGTGAAAGACATGACTTGAATCCGGGCTTGATCCTTGTTTAAAGCAGTGCCTCGTTGGAAGTGGAAGCAGCTTAAACCCTAAATCCTAAACTTCCCAAAAAAACAACAAGGAGGCTTAGCCTGAATTACAAAGGCCTTGCGGCTGCGGTGCAGCCTGCGAAGAAGCAGGAGGTTCTGCGGAAATCTCTACCTAAGGTTGAGGCTTTAGGGTTAGTTATACCTACCTGCCTACGCACTACCTACCTACCTATCTACCTACCTGCCTGCCTACCTACCTACCTACTTACCTACCTAGCACCTACCTACCTACCGACCAACCCACCTACGACCCCACCTAAATGCCTACCTCCTACGTACCTACCTGCCTGCCTACCTCCTACCTA